GTGAACGCGGCCATCGCCGCCATCAAAACGCGGCGCTCCATCCAGTTTGTGGACTGGTGCCCCACGGGCTTCAAGGTGGGCATCAACTACCAGCCGCCCACGGTGGTGCCSGGSGGSGACCTGGCCAAGGTGCAGCGCGCCGTGTGCATGCTGAGCAACACGACGGCCATCGCGGAGGCCTGGGCCCGCCTGGACCACAAGTTTGACCTGATGTACGCCAAGCGAGCCTTCGTGCACTGGTACGTGGGGGAGGGCATGGAGGAGGGCGAGTTCTCGGAGGCCAGGGAAGACCTGGCAGCCCTGGAGAAGGACTATGAAGAGGTTGGAAGGGACTCAGCTGATGGTGAAGAAGAAGAAGAAGCTGATGAGGATGAGTACTAACAAACTCCTGCCTCTTTTTGAAGAAGTGAAACCTCAGATCAAATAGATACTGTCATCCGACTAAACTGGTCCCAAGTGCCTGGAGGTGCCACAGGATTGTCCTGAACCGCAACGCTACTGTTTGACGTATTATTCCTTTCCTGCTTGCATAGTCTGCGTGCTCATTACGCACTTCCAGCATGGGTGTCTTGAGCTTTATCACACTGCTGCGTATCCAAGAGTGAAGCTGAATAGGTGCCTGGCTTTGGGTTGGGGTCATGTTCTGCTTGGGAAGAGGCTCCTGGTCATCCAGGGCAATGTTGCAAGCTGCCTGCTTTGGTTTAAGTGACAGATTTTTGCTCTGGCTCTTACTGCAAAAGCACCTTTTTAAATTAGGAGCGTACCAGCACACTTCTATGCAACTGTCTTTTGTATTTGAATAAAGACATTTTTTTTCTCTGAAGTCTCTGGCTTTAATCTAGATTTTTCTTTACAGTTCATCAGCACTTGCCCTTTCTCTAAGAGAGCATTTGAAGATGTGCTTCTGGCTAGGCCAACACTGAGGATCCCAAAGCAGCGCTATTGCTGTGAAGGAATTGTCCACTTTTGTGCAGGGTCTTGTCTGGCTCAAGCTAGGTGCTGTTTGTGGATGTCTGGATGCTAGTTTGGAGTGGGCAGGGCACCAAAGAATCCTTGAGGGTCGAAGGGAGCCCTGGAGATCATGGTGTCCAACCCCCTTGCATGAGGAGATCATTTAGAGTATGTTGTTCTGGATCATGTCCAGGTGGAATGTGAAGGGATTCTCCTTCCAGAGAAGGAGATTGATGCATTTGTCAGGAGCACCTTCCTGGTGGGTCTCTACCACCTTAGTGTTTCTGGTGAAGTCTGAAGGTGATGGCCTGGCTCTGCCTGAGTGGATCCTGGTGCCTAGGGCAGCAGAGTGGCTCTGAGCAGAGGCTCTTGTGGGCTCTACAGCTGCTAGGAACACAAAACCACCAGGTCCCTGCACATGGGGGCAGATGTTCACCAAGCAGTGTCATGGTCCAAGAAGGAAAAGCCATGAAATACCTGGTGCCATGATAGACTTATGAACACTCCCTTGCCCTCGGCAATGGGCAAGAGGCCCCAAAGCTCAGCTGAGACTCTGGGCTCTCCTCAGGGCAATGGCCTTAGAGGCAAAACTACAGCCCTCTGTCTACTCTTTATTCCAAGGCCCAGCCTGGATCTACCTGTGCTTGATGGCACATAAAGAGAAACAGAGAGAGACCTCTTGCTCTGGTCTTTTAAGATAAGGTGATGCTTTCAGGCTTCTGGAATCTCAAGAAGATGACCACCCTTTTCCCAGGTGCTTGGAGTGACACGGGAGATGTTCTCCAGGGTGATGCATTGGTTGGTGCCTGGGGATGGTTAGAGGGTTGTGAAGATGCAGCAGCATTAACGTGCCTGGGGGATGCTGGAAGGAGCCACAGCTCCTTGTTAGCTGCTGATTGCTTCAAAAGCCAGGAGGACTTTTTAACAGCAGGATCTGGAAGCAGGTTGAGTCTTAGGAACACCCCTTATGCTAAAACACGGGGCCTGTCCCACAGCTCACCTGGCTCTTGTGGCTCCCCTCTGGGGCTGCTCCTAGCAGATGCGTGGGAAGCAGCTCCTGCCCCATGCAATGGGTTCTGTCCTTCAACTCCAGTTCTGTAGTGGTGGATGCCATGGAGGCAAGGGTATACCTGGCATCCCTCCACCACAGGCCATGCTCAACCCAAAGCTGCTGGGCTGAGCACATCTCCTCTCGCCCACCCCAAGCAGTTGCCTTTCCAACCCCCTGATTCCTGGAGACCTGGCCAAGCCAGCTCCTGAGCTGCCAGCTGGCTGTGCCTACAGCATAGCCCATAGCACTGATGTTAACCCTCACAGGGCGATTGTCCCATTTGGGGCTGTTCATGACTCAACCACCCTTACTAGAGGTACAAGGACTTCTGGCTCTATCTCCATGCTCAACACACAGGGATCTTTCCAGTCATGGTCTCCAGAGCTGCCACCTTTCCATGGTGGCTCAAGTCTCCACAGGTGCCTGGAGCTGGAAGCCCTTGGTTAAATCCCCAGAAAATGTGAGTGCAGTAGAGTCTCCTCAGGGTGGACACGGAATGAGTATTGCTTGGAGGGAAGGAACGTGATCCCCGTGCTCTGGCAGCTTGGAAAGCCATCAGCACATTGCTGGGGCTGATGTAATTTAAACAATCATTTATTGCTGAACTCCATTCCTTTGGCACGTGCATCAGCGCAGCCCTGCTCCAGCACCTCCCACAAACACAACTTAGGGAGCCAAAGGAAAGGTTTTCCTTGGGAGAAGGGAAGAGTGATCCCTCCTTGATGGTCACAGAGGAGGCCTTGTCCCCTCTCCACATGGCAGAGCCTCCAGATCTGCTCCCCAAAGGAGGGCCTGCTGCAGCTGAACTTCTCCTGCCTGCTGCCACAGCAAGGCTGGACCTAGGGGTAAGCTCTGCAAACAGTGACACATGGGGCAGCCCACAGGAGCAGGGGTTTTGGAATGTCACTGTCATCCCCTCCAGGCTGAGCTTAGTGCAGTCATGCCCTAAGATAGAAGGGAAGCTGCTGCTCTTTCAAGAGCGTGAACAGAGGTTTCTGATGCTCATGAGATCCACCAGAGCCCTTCTAGCCCTTGTCTCCTGCAGGGAGGCAGGAACACACATGCTGCTCCAGCCCTGGACCAGAAAAGCTAGGCAACTGAAGGGCCAAGTTCCAGCCTAACTGAGCCTTGCTGTGCTCCTAGCCCAACACCTAAGCAGGGGAGGTACCCGCACAAGCTGTCTGCACCTGGCTGGAGCCTCTTGTTTCTGCTCTGGCTCCTCTTTATGCTGTAGAAAGTGTAGACATCTCATGGGGGTCTTCAACATCTGAAGCAGCCCTTTCCAGTGAGGTGTGCTCAAGTGCCACCACAAAGCTGCATTGGGAGGAACCAGTAGTCTCAAGGGAGACCCTCAGGAACATCTGGGGTCCAGAGAAGGGCAACCAGGATGATCAAGGGAATGGAACATCTCTCGTATGAAGAGAGGCTGAGTGAGCTGGGCCTGTTTTCTCTGGAGAAGAGACGGCTCAGAGGGGATATGATTAATATGTCTAAGTTCAGGAAGGGAGAATGCAGGGAGGAAGGGGACAAGCTGTTCTCACTGGTGGCCAGCGATAGGACGAGGGGTAATGGCCACAAGCTGAAACACAAGAAGTTCCGTCTCCAGGTGAGGAGCAACTTCTTTACTGTGAGGGTGACAGAGCAGTGGAACAGGCTGTCCAGGGAGGTTGTGGAGTCTCCTACTCTGGAGGTCTTTAAAACCCGCCTGGATGCCACCCTGTGCCACATGCTCTAGGTGGGCCTGCTTGAGCAGGAAGGTTGGACTAGATGATCTGTAGAGGTCCCTTCCAACCTTAAATATTATGTGAATCTGTGATTCTGTGAATCTTCTCTCTCTTATAGTCTCTACACCACCAACCACACCACTCTGCACAGCCCAGCTCCCGAGGCCAAGGGCAGCTCAAGGTGAGCCAGCCCCTGGGAGCTCTGTTCACCTTGGGAGACTGCCACCCCCAGGAGCCAGCTGAGTAATGGCAAGTGCAGACAGGCTTTAATTTATAAGGATCTCCCCCCCCAACCCTTGCCTCAGGTTGTTTAAACTTTCTTCCAGTTTAACCCAGAGCCAACACTGTCAGCCTTTCAATTACAGGCTGACATCAGATCCAGAGTCTCTGCTGCATCTCAGCCAGCTCACTTTCCTGGAGCACTTGCTGGGAAGGAGACTCCCAGATGGAGAAATAACCTGTTCCAGTTCACGGAGCAGACCTGCAAAAATTGAGTTAAACTCCCCTTTTTCAGCTCATTAGCCGTTTGCATGGATCCATGCATCCTGCCCTGGAGAAGTCCTACCTCAGGCTAATTGAGTAGCATAAGAAAAAAATTAATTAGGAGACCACTCCTTGCTTTAGAGCCGGAGCAAACTTGGCTATGGGTCATGGGATTTTACAGGGGGCTGACAGACAGCTCAAGGATTCAAATTCCCCTTTCCAGACTCCAATGAGACTTCCAGGCAGGCTGAGCCCCGGCAGCCCTACATGGATCGCTTTAGCAGGGCTCTGGGCAGGGAGGGGATGGGAGAAACCCGATCCCGCTCCCTGCTCTGTCTCAGAGCTGCCAGCTGCATGGAAAACCCAGAGCTGACAGCATGAGAGGCCAGGGGCAACCAGAACCCCAGCATGGGACAGGCCCTTGCTGCTCATTTTGACACTGGTTCCCCAGAGAAGAGGGGACACATCATGGGGAGCCACCCTAGATCACAGGATTCCTCCCAGTCCGGGACTATCTGCTCACAGACGGGTTGTTACAGCCACAGAGTGGTCAGAAAAGCCCAAGAGTTGGATTAAAGCAGTCAGCAAAATGTGAGAACCCCAAGGGTCAGGTTGGTGGAACACCAAGACAGGAGAAGTAGAGGCTTTGCTGGACACCATATATTTGACAAATTTTCATTTATACACACACAAGCAGTGAACCACAAGTCACTGCTGGCCAAGCCAGAGCTTCCAAGCCATATTTAGTTAAACAGAGCCTGCGATTCACTTCCCTGGAAGGAATCACAAAACCAGAATATCAGATGCTTTATAACCCAACTGCCTTTCCAGAGATAAAGACTTACTCCTCCTCCGCAAAGTCCCTTCCAACCTCTTCATAGTCCTTCTCCAGGGCTGCCAGGTCTTCCCTGGCCTCCGAGAACTCGCCCTCCTCCATGCCCTCCCCCACGTACCAGTGCACGAAGGCTCGCTTGGCGTACATCAGGTCAAACTTGTGGTCCAGGCGGGCCCAGGCCTCCGCGATGGCCGTCGTGTTGCTCAGCATGCACACGGCGCGCTGCACCTTGGCCAGGTCCCCGCCGGGCACCACCGTGGGCGGCTGGTAGTTGATGCCCACCTTGAAGCCCGTGGGGCACCAGTCCACAAACTGGATGGAGCGCCGCGTTTTGATGGCGGCGATGGCCGCGTTCACGTCCTTGGGCACCACGTCGCCGCGGTACAGCAGGCAGCAGGCCATGTACTTGCCCCGGCGCGGGTCGCATTTCACCATCTGGTTGGAGAACTCAAAGCAAGCGTTGGTGATCTCCGGCACCGACAGCTGCTCGTGGTAGGCCTTCTCCGACGAGATGATGGGAGCATAGGTGGTGAGTGGGAAGTGGATCCGTGGATAAGGCACCAGGTTGGTTTGGAACTCGGTCAGGTCAACGTTCAAGGCCCCGTCAAACCTCAGCGAGGCAGTGATGGAAGAGACAATCTGCCCAATCAGCCTGTTGAGGTTGGTGTAGGTGGGCCGCTCAATGTCCAGGTTGCGGTTGCAGATGTCATAGATGGCCTCATTGTCCACCATGAAGGAGCAGTCCGAGTGCTCCAGGGTGGTGTGGGTGGTGAGGATGGAGTTGTAGGGCTCTACCACAGCAGTGGAGACCTGTGGGGCTGGGTACACAGAGAACTCCAGCTTGGACTTCTTGCTGTACTCCACAGAGAGCCGCTCCATGAGGAGGGAGGTGAAGCCCGAGCCCGTGCCTCCCCCAAAGCTGTGGAAGACCAGGAACCCTTGGAGACCGTCACACTGGTCAGCCTGCAGCACCGAGGAAAGAACCGAGAGAACCACATTAGTGATCTTACTCCAGGCTCATTGCCTTTCTTAACCTTTAAGGGGGCCTAAGCGCTGGGCTCCTCCATCAGCTTTAAGACCATACTGCTCTCCTGCTTATATGCACCCTCCACTTCTCACCCGCTGCCATTTGTTAGAAGTAGACAGAAACCTGCCACCTCTTAGTGACCTTGGCTTTGGTGGGAGACGCCTGGTGCCCTTTCGGCCTAGGGGGCTTCCAGAATAATGAGCTAAGAGGAGGAAGAGCTGTAAAGCCACTAAGAGGGTCTATCTAGAGCAAGACTCTTAGTGCTGTCAGAACACTTCCAAAAGCCTGTCCTTGGGATTCCGCTCCAAGTCCAAATGCATGGGCATGAGAAAACTGAGAGGAGATATCAGCTAGGAACTGGGATGCCACATCACTTAGCTTGAACTAGGCACTTAGGCACCCCTTTCTTTTCCCTCAAGTCACAACCACTAAGTCGGTCTCTTCCCACCAAGGGCATCTCATCACTGTTGTCCCACTAGGGGTCATGGCCAACCCAACAGAATTCCATGCAGCTAAACCTATGCTGCCTCACTGGACAGCCATGGAAACCACAGCCACAAGGCAGCAGCAGCAGAGTCTCACGGGCATTGTTACCATTTTACGAGCCCTCTCAACAACAGGGTCAATGATCTCCTTCCCAATGGTGTAGTGGCCGCGGGCATAGTTGTTGGCAGCATCTTCCTTGCCACTGATGAGCTGCTCCGGGTGGAAGAGYGCGCGGTARCTGCCAGTCCTGATCTCATCTGCAAGAGGTTGTGAGCTCAGGAGCACCCCTGCCAGAACCACCACCCTCTCCCAAGAAACTTCCACTCATTTCAGAAAAAACCCTTTCCCATGGAAGCCAGGGACCTCCCAGGCAGTTCTCAGAGCCAACATCCCCATAGCAGGCCAGAAAGCTCCAGGAGCTCTAACAAGAGTCCTACAGACTTCTCATGCCTTACCAAGGACAGTGGGCTCCAGGTCAACAAAGATTGCTCTGGGCACATGCTTCCCCGAGCCACTCTCGCTGAAGAAGGTCCCAAAGGAAGAGTCCACCAGCCCCACGGATGCCTCAGAAGAGAGGATGCCATCTGGCTGGATCCCATGCTCCAAGCAATACAGCTCCCAGCACGAATTGCCCATCTGCACGCCAGCCTGGCCAATGTGGACAGAAATACACTCCCTCTGCATGGCAATAGGAGACACAAGGACGTTAGGAACGTGCCCACGCTAGAACCTCAGGCTCTGCTCACGGAGAACATGGCAGACACCACTGGAGCTCCCACAGGACAAGAGGAGCAGGACACAGGACAAGAGGAGCATTTGCAGAGCTTCGGGACAACAAGGACACTTCCCCCACAACAAGCACCCAGGAGCTGTAGAACTAGCAACAAGGGACRCTGCAGCTTCTCTGAGGGGCCAATGCTTCTGTCAAGGCAGGTACAGAGAGCCASGGAGTGCAGGAGGACCTGCTGCACCCCAGCACTGCCCTCGCTCYGCACAGCAGAGCTGCTCCCAGCACAGCCAGCAAGGCAAACCATGAAGAGCAGCCACCAAGAGCCAGGGAGGCTGCTCCTGCGTGCCCCTTGCTCTGCCCATCCTGCCTTGGGCAGCAGCCAGGGCACACGGAGCCTGCCCAGGTGGAGCCTCCGGGACTCTCAGCTGGGCAGGGAGGGACTGGTGAATAAGGCCAGCTTTTTTGGCCTCATCTCTGCTTCCACCAAGAGCAGCTGTGCAGGAGCAGCCAGCTGGAGACAGGTAGAGGGGCTACCAGCAACAATGGGCAGAGACTGCTCAGTCACCTGCTCCATATGGGAGCCAGCAACTGTCCCATGGAGCTACTAGGCTTGAACCAAAGGAGGAGAGCCCTTTATTCAAGGCATAGCTAAGCTGAGAACTTCCTGAGACTAGAGACTGTTAGATTTTAGGGCTCAGAGAGACACTGGGCTAGGAGATACCCACCAAGAGTTGCATGGGACTTTTTCCTCTAGTCATTTAGGACGCTCTCACCTACAGGAAAGTTTAACTAGGAGAGCCTCATAGGCTTGGCCAAAGCTTACTCTGCCCTAGCTCCCAGTTTTTAAGCATGTGCTGGGCAGGACACCCCACCAGACACCCAGCACAGCCACTAAACTAAAGCACAMAAACACAAGGCAACATCCTCCACCACAGCAGAAGGTCCTGCCCCAAGGGTGGCCATTTGAGAGAGCAGCTCTGCACTAACCACCAAACATTCCTCTCCCTACTCAGGGAGCAGCCCTGCAGCCTGCTTAACAAACCCTCTACACCAGAGCCATGGGGCTGGTGACCTTGCTGCTGTAAGGGCAGGATGAGAAGTCCCACCTCTGCCTGGGATCACACACAACCTGCAAGCTCTTCAAAGGGAGCTTTGCAAGGGGCACACGCAGGTCTGGAAGGGCTTCAGCCTTTGCAGTGGGTCAGTCCTCCCCAGGCCAGGAGAGGCTGCTGAGCACCACGCTTGCAAGTCCAAACCAAGCTCCCCCCAGCACCAATGGGTGCTTGGTCACCCCAAGACACCTTTCTTGGGGTGCTTGGGGTGCTTGGTCACCCCAAGACACCTTTCTTCAGCCCTCACATGCTTCTCAGCTCCCTGCTTCTCCCCCCACCAAGCTGCAATAAAGAGAAAAAGCTGCTTCCAGTCTCACCCTCCTGCTRAGCTGCAAAGGACCAGCCAGGGCAGCTGGTGGTGCTCAGAGAAAACCCCCTCCTCAAGCCCCCACACCTCCTCACCATGACTGGGAACCACCTGAGCTCCTCAATGGAACCTCACCCCCTTCTTGGGGCATTTTATAGCAGCAGAGCTGGTCTCACCATTAAAGGGGCAGTGTCACCTCCTCCTGGCTCTTGCCCTTTCTCCTGTGCACACCTGGTAGCCAAGTCCTCTAACGTTTCTGCTCTTATGAGACAGCA